GGGCCTGGTGAGGTCACAGGCCATGTGATGGGAACAGGGTGTTCTGGAATGCAATATGGCGGCCAAGATGGCCACCAACATGGCTGCCTTGGGGGTTGGGTCTGGTGAGGTCACAGGCCATGTGATGGGAACAGGGTGTTCTGAGATGCAATATGGCGGCCAAGATGGCCACCAACATGGCTGCCAGGAGGGTTCAGGGGTGGAGTTTCTGGTGGCAAAGGTCAGGGGTTAGGGGCGGGACTTCTGTTTGCAAGATGGTGGCCAAGAAGGCGGCCAGGAGGGGGCGTGTCTAGGGGTGGGGTTAAAGGGGCGGGGCACCTGCCAGTGGGCAGGGCTTATCAGTTTTTACAGTTTGACAAGATGTGTACCCTATATACTACTATCCATTATTTCTCCTGGTTGTTCATTCTACACATTTACCAGAAAATTGTACTGTACCTACGTTGAGTGAAATGCTGCATACAATATGCAGGGAAGAAGGTAATAACACACAGATACACATGCCTTTCATTCAAGTAAAATTGGAAGGCACATGTTCAGAAGACCTTGACATTGGAGTCACATTCGGCAAAGCTATCAGGAGGCATAGGGGTTAGCTGAGAAATAAAGAAAAGAGGAATAATTCAGAAAAATAACGTTTACAGGGACAGGTTTTGGAAGACAGAAGTGAATATGGATGTATTGCCAAATTTATCTGGGTGTCCTATAGTCTGATTGAATTTAGGCAGAGCAGTAGAAAATAGTGACTTCATCAGGCAGGTAACCCAAATACTAGCTTTGGACACAAGCCATGACTCATTTGATTTCCCCATTAGATGTAATGTGTATGTCAGCAACCTAGCACAGAATTAACAACTGCTGCTAAATCTGTCCCATGATGAGGTTAAAGGAATTTATAATTTTTGTGCCACCTGGTCTGGGATGTTACAGTTTCCTCAGATTTTAACTCTGAGGTCTGAGGGACAGGACAGGGTCAAGTGTAGATTTTAGCTCCTGTATTACTGGGGAAATCTTCGGTATTGCTGTCTCACAGAAGTGCTCTCCTGTCACTTGAGTCTTTGAGAAGCTTGTTATAATTATCTCCATTACTAAATCATAGAGGTGCATTTGAAATGCATAATTATAGGGACGATTCATATTCCTAGACTTGATTGTCATTGTTGTCTACTCCATGACACACAGACAGGCTGAATTTACCTTGCAGTGGCACAGTTAGGGCAAGCAGCATAGCAACACACTTGGGCACCTGAGGCACACAGAATTCAATGGTGCTTTAAGTAAAAGATGGTCCTTCTACTCTATCTGGAAATGACAGGAAATTCTGGTCAAACCATGGCAAAGGCTAAGGGTTTCTTGACTCCCATTTCCTCCTGGAGGAGTTCTCCCCACCTTTTCTTCTTTTTTGATACTGAAACCCTGACAGGGGAAGAAGGAAGGAGGGCTTCATGTCATTTGAGAAGCTTGTACAAAGTAGATGGCTGTCTTGTTGCTATTACACTGGCTATCCAATGGTTATTGCTCTTAGCTTCAGTCACTGATTTCATGAGTATCATATGTCAAAAGATTAAAAAAGTCATAGGTCCAGAAGGTTAGCATGAGAAATGATGCCAGGAAAAAGGAAGGGCATGCACAGTACATGTGGCTTTTGAAAGTTTTCAATTTCTAACTGTGAGGGCCGTCTCCCGATCCCACCCCTGTCGCCATGTGCGGACGGCGGGGGGCGCGATCGGGGCCCTTTTGTGCTGCGCGGGCTGTGGCCAGCAGCCCGGGGCACACTGGATCGGAGAGAACAGGCGGCACACTGGAATTAGGCACGGACACTTAGCGGTTAATTTAAAGATTATTTTACTTACACCGAAGATGGTCGCAGTGCAGGCAGGAAAACTTGCTTGAGTTGCGGTTACAGATAGGAAAGATAAGAGGTGGACTAGAGTTCCGTCCCGTGAACACTCTTCTAGCCCGTCCGGTTGGAGGCTCTAAACCGCGAGCCCGTCGTGCCAACCAAAGAAAGTACTCGTCCGAAAAGAGCTCTGAATAAACTCACACGAAGTTTGCTAGGCTCCGTGGGTCTTTCTGCTCACTCATCCACACGAAGTTTGCTAGGCTTCGTGGGTCCGGTTCTTTTGCGCGCAGGAAGGGATACGTCTAGGAATCTATCGGCGACGGGGAGAGGCCAGAGGCTGATCAGACCTCTGTTGCCTGCTTGAAATACACGCTGGGTTCAATAGGCTCCGCAGCGCTTAGAGATCTTCACACAGCGTGAAGTCTCCTCCTCCTGGTAGTCGTGGAGTCCTCCAACTTGGGCGGAAACCACACAAGCTTTTTATACGGCTAGCAAGCCAATCACTAGCTGCCACGTGTGCATAATTTCACGTGAACCAATAATGGGGCTCAAATTAGCATACACATGGCGGGAACTCTTTGCAACGTGCATCTCTGTGCTGCAACAAAGAAATGCACCCTGCAAAGAAAGCTACTAATTGACGGGAATTCCCTTGCACCGGGGTTCTCTTTTGCAGCAGAAAACTCCACCGTGCAAAGAAATTGCAATTTAGCGGGAACAATTTAGCAGTGCCGAAGCGCACACACATCAAATCACACCTTTGGGTTGTGACACTAACAATTCATTCTGTGGTGCATAAAAACTAAATCTACTTCTGTTACTTACATTTCAAAGAGTGCAGACAAAAATTAAAATGATTCATGCTACTGGTTAGGATTGTCTATATGTTTGTACATGTTTAAATATAAGTCATTTGTAAAAGTGACTCAGACAGTTTTAAAAACTTTGAAACCAACGAGTTAGGGCATGCAAAGAATTGCGGTCACATTAATCCTAATAAAAAAAGAAACTATTTTTCATATGTCTGAAGAAGTGGGTGCCCGGTGAGAAGCAAGAGAATGAAATTTGAATGCTCTATCATCCTTCAGCTGGTTATTACACCCCCTCGCCAGACCCTCCAGCAAACTTGCCCACCAATGGCAAAACTAGCAATGAAAGTATTCCTTTAGTAATAGCTGCTATTGTGAACACAAGGCATTTTGGGAGGATGGCCCAAAAATGCAGCATTAGGAAAGTCTCAAGCACAGAAAATTGTTTGAATGAAAAACCCAGAGCCTGGATACTTATCTGAACCACCAAAGCCAAATTGTTCTAAAATCCTCCCAAACCTGAAATCGCATCCAAAATTTAAAATTCAAAATGTTGATCAATTCTCTTCATAGCCTAACTTCCTCACAAAGAAGTTCCCTTCGCTTCTGAAGTCATAGCTGTGCAGCCTTAAAGACTGTATAACCCTCTGTAATGCAGGGTTCATTGTAGCTTTTCCTCTGAAAGGGTTGTATGTAGGTACAAAACCAGGAGAACAGCAACCCCAGGGCATCAAGTCCAATCTGCTGCTGCAATAGATATCTATATCATATAGGCCTTTTCCCAAACTGACCAAGTTCCATCTTAAAAATTGGTTACTCCCATTACTATTAGGAAGCTGTTCCAGAACCTCATTTCTCAGATAATTAGAAACTTTCTTCCCATTTTCAGTCTAATTCTTTTCATGGTCAGTTTGTATCTATTTATTCTTGTACTAACATTGTCCTGTAGTTGAACACTGCCCTCTTCTGCTGCTTGTAAAAAGCAGTCATCTTCCCTCTCAGTTTCCATTTTTCTAGACAAAATGACAAGTTATTTTAGACTCCTCTTCTAAGACAGTTCCTCCATGCCCCTGGTCACCCTAGGAGCTCTTCTCTGCAACAGTTCTTGTTGGAATACATCCTGCATTCAAAGACAGACAAGTTCTTTGGGTAAATGTGGTACCTTTTATTAGACCAACTAAATAATTTGAAAAATTGTTCTTTGTAAGCTTTTGGGTACAAACACCCCTTTTCATTCTGTACCCGAAAGCTTACAAAGAACAATTTTCCCAATTATTTAGTTGGTCCAATAAAAGATATCACATCTACCCAAAGAACCTTGTCTGCCTATACCCTTAGACTAACATGGCTACAACCAGCACCTCCTTCATTCAAAGAAATTCTGGAGACCAGATTTTTACAATGTATTCCACAATGAGATCTCATACGGGGTTGTACAATGTCATTAGCAGTGTTTTTTTTTCATGCAAGGATGAGCTCTTAATTAGAGATGATGCTGGCAAAGCCTTGAAAAACCCCAGAAACCAACACAAGTGTCTATTCATGGATCATCATTCCAGTGAGTTTAACCAGTCAGAATTATGGAAAGCCACTCCCATTCACTATGGGCTTTCCCACCGATCTGATAACTTAAGTCCTTTGTGTGAGAAAAGAGCTATCACCATATGGCTTACATTCTTTGTGGTTTGATTAGGTCTGTTCTAAAGTGTTTCCACACTGTAGAAAGGACTGCCTCCCAGTTAAACAAATCTCAGTAAAGAGTGTAATTAAAGATCTAGCCTTTTTTACTGGATTTCTGGACAGAATTTTCTTTCACAGCAACTAGCATCAGTCTACTATTCATGTAAAACAAAAAAAAGAACAAATTAATGTATAGCTTGCAAGAAGATGTAAAGCCTTTTCTCCTATACAAGTGATGCATTTTTATTATTTCTGCTGTGTAGTTTCTTTCTAAAGGAAAATGATTCAAAATTAATGTATGCTCAGAGATATTTTCAGAAAAGATGTGCAGCCATGGCTCAAGCAGGTTGAAGGAAGAAAAAATGTCTTACATTGGCTTTCCAATGGGGACAAAATTAAATGTATAATGTGTATATCATATAGAATAGAAAAAAACAGGGGCAAACTACATTTTTAAAATTCAGCAAACAAAAGGCATGAAAGAAAACTTATTCTAAGAGTGCAGGAGGTGGGATTCATTATTTATGATTAGCAATGAACAACAGTAGTTGGAAGAAAGAATTTCCACCACTTATAATAATAAAGGAATCACAATACAGTAGTTGTGCCCTGATTACTTCTTGACATTATAAGCAATTAATTGCCAGGATATAGAAGTAGCAATACAATGGATCTCACTCAAAGGCTAATATAGCAATACATTATCTTTCATAAAATCTAACACAAAGCCATCCACCTGAAATTACTGTGCATGTTTTGCGTGCATGAATACACATATAACTACACAGAATGGGTATGCATCTTGTAGTAAAAAGAAATTCCCTCCAGCACTTAATTCTTGGAACTATTAAGGCTGGCAAAAGCCATGGGAAGCTGGACCAACCTATTGCTGACACCCAGGGAAGAACATATAAATTGAGAGCACCAAAGCACTCAGGTGAGAAGCTGTTTTTTTTCCTATCCATTGGAAGGTGTTTCATTTGGTGGGACTTCCTCTTGAGACCTTAAATGTGGTGGAGACAAAGAGTCAGAAAGTTCAGTCTCCAAAAATGCGGTGCGCAAAGGCCGAAGCTGGCCAGTGAAGAATTTTCTATTTGATGGCAGAAATCTGCATAGGCAGTCATGTTGCTACTTTTCCCAGCTACTCCCCTATCTCTACACACAAAAAACCTATAGATTGGGGTTCTCCTGTGGGCAGAGCATGGTGGAAGAGAGAGAGCTGTGCTGTGCTCAGTGCCACCCTGGCATAAGTAACTGAAGCACCAGTGAAGCACTGGGCTGTGCAAACAGAATCTTTCCCAGCCACTCCATCTGAGTTCTCTTGGATGGAGGTAAGAATTACACATGAGATCAAAGGTTATATGGGATATGCTTGATTGTACAGAAACCTAAATTGTGAAATTGCTGGCCATCTTTTAAAAATCAGGCATTTTTAAGGCTTGTCAAGATAAGTTCCCAAAATTAGAGGAGGCAAAAATCACTAGTAATTTTTTTTAAATCCTGACCTGCTTTAGTTAACTTTATTCACCTTTTTCATGAACTGATAAAGAAAATTGAGAGCAGTAGTTTAAAAACTGAGAAAAATACATAACACGTTACAAGGATCCATCTAAGATATTCACTTAATGTGAAACGGTACAGAAAAAAATATTCTCATATTGTAATCATTAACATGCAGGCTGGAACTCTGTCTCCTTGTATGTTTGCACAAAACCTAACATATTCATGTATAGCTTTCGTAGTCAGATTAAAGACATCCTAAAGACTGAAAGAAAGAAACAATTTTCCTCATGTTTTCCTTGTTTCTAATTGATATCACTCCAGACCCCTTATCCCTTTGTGGTTAGACAGCCTTTGGGTTTCACTTATTGATAAACTTGGCTTCTGTAGTCTATATTGCCCAAACATAATACATGCTTTAAAAAATCTCAGACATTTTGGCTAACCAGATCATTTAGCATGCTGAATATTCTGGCTCATTTTTTTAAAATAGTGATGCTCTCATATTTTCTTTTGCACTGCATGGATTTTTTCCTTTTAAGCCAAACACTAGACATTCTGGATGCTGACTTAATGATTTGTATATGTATGAGCAGAAGCAACATTTTATCCCAGGCTCAGTCCTGTAACTACTGATGTCAGTGACAAAATGCCCACTATTTCCCATTAACTGCAACTTTGAATTGTCAATAAGATAACAGTCTGAGCAAATGTTTGTGTTCTCTCTCTGTCACTGCTTTTGGAGCACCTCTCAACTATGAAGAATCATTATGTGGGGTGTCCAAATGTAACCTCTTCTTTTCCAGATTGTTTCTGCTACTGTGGACAACAGTAAATTGCTTCTGGATATTGATAACAGCAGGATGACTGCTGATGACCTCCGAATGAAGTAAGTACTTCTCTATAATAGACAAATGAACCCATTTCACATCCCACTCGTGAATTTACCAAATCAAAGCAATCTTCCAAAGGAGAGTTCGAATGTTACCTATCCATGATAACAGACAACAGTGCTGATCAGATGAACTTTCAAAGAGTGGCTGTGTTTATATGAGATTTCTAAATGTTCCTTTTGCATCCGTCTTTGGCTATGATCAATTCAGATCTTCAGGAGAAAAGCAGCTGACTGTGTACCTTTTGAGTTATGCATTGACCATATGTCTCTCCTATTTACCAAATTACTTTCTCTCTCTTTCAGTACAGCTTTATTGAAGTGTTGAAGACACTGTCATTGGTGGAGTATAGTTAAGCAATAAATTACTTCTAGGACAATTGAGAATTACTTTGAGGTTTTGCCTATTTTGTTTTTGGACAGTGTGTATTATTGTATGATATCTAATTGGGTGAAGGGGGATTGAGGATGGACGAGCTATCCAAGGAGACAGGAGCTCTCTCTCATTTTAGGAAAAGATGTCAGGACATTGTTATGGTACTGTCAAAAAAATATATATATAGACAATTTTGTTTTATTTTTATAATTTAAGGGAAGATATTTTCTAAATGTATCTTCTTAAGTGCATTACAATGTATTGACATCAGAGAAAGACTGACTCATATGAGAGTGACAGTAAAAGAGCAAGGAAAATCTTTTATGCTAATGCTTAAAGAAAAGTAATTGAAGTTGAAAGCCGTTTGGGAGAGAGGTGCTGTGAGTTGCAAATTTGCTAAATGGACTGATTTTTGTACCAACAGGCACATATAATGGTTACTTTTATCATGGGCTCAGCCTCAGACACTAATTTTTTTGCCCCTCTTGATTGGTTCAGGTATGAGAATGAACTGACCATCCTCCAGCTTGTGGAAGCTGACATCAATGGCTTGCGTAAGGTCCTGGCTGAACTCACTCGTTTTAGGCCTTCCCTGGAATCAGAGTTTGAGCTATTGGGGGGTGAGCTGAATGCACTCAAGAAGAACCATGCAGAGGTAAGATAAACCCATTAAAACAGTATGAATGAAAGAAAACTACATTTCAAGAGTCATTATAGCATGACTGTTCTTGGCTACTGGATGTTCATTCTGGAGGAAGGAAATCCAGATGAAGACCATTGCAGTCACACCAATTCAGGGAAAGAGGTGACTCTTCATTCATCAGGAAAAATGTAACTATCAAATTGGTTTGACCAACAGCATGACCAAACACAGGATCCACATCAGCTGGTGACTTGGTGGGAAGTAGAGACCAATTTTACCATAGCAAGTAGACATTTTCTTTGGCAAAACACTTAGCTCTTTTAAGCTTCCTCCCTTTAACTTCAAGTCCAAACCATAGTGGGCACATCTACACAAGACACTACTGCTCAGTCATTATTGTGCATTTATTTAGTATTTGTATTAGCAAGTACTAAATCAATATGCAATAACAAGAATTACTGTGCAGTAGTGCTGGTGAACATCTTTTAAGTGATGCTACTGTGCACTAGTTGAATAATACTGCACAGTAGCATACTAGCACTGTCTGTGCTGCGACGTGCTACTGTGCAGTATTATTCGGCTACTGAGCATTCAGTGTCTCATGTAGATGTACCCAGGGTATCACTAACTCAGCTACAATCATTATAGAGTTCATCATGGACATCCCTACTATGTTCTTGCTCAAGAGCTAGGCAACATGTATAAGAGCTTTATTCATAGCTGTATGATGCTTATTCTTTTGCTTGTTAACTTTGGTGCTTGGTCTTTCATGTCAGGAAATGAGACAACTCCAATCCCAGACTGGTGGTGATGTGAATGTGGAAGTCAATGCTGCTCCTGGTCAAGATCTGACAAAGATGCTGAATGACATGAGAGGAATATGAGGAAATAATTAAAAAAAACCGGAGAGAAATAGAACAATGGTTTGAAGTCAAGGTAAGCCATGCACACTATTACCATATTGCCCTTGAGGAAAAAGAAAGGGACACTTTCCTACAAAGTAAGAATAAGAGGAAAAGTATTAATATATCTTACACTAAATGGCATAGATTAATATTAATAGATCACATGTGGCTTTTAGCAGCAAAACAAAATCCAATGCTCCACATCAGTGATGAAGTGCACTGGTGAAAGTATAGTATGAACAAGGAGTATAATAGCAAAGGTATATCGGATTGAGGCTGATGTATATTAGCAAAGCTGAGTAACATGAAAATTATGAGAAAGTAGTAGGCATTTCAGTCTAGGCTTGACTAACACTGGAATATATATCAGTAAAAAGCTAATACAACCCCTGAATGATTGCCTTCAAGCCAATAACTATATTCTTTTTATTTACTCTAATCCTCATTAAAGTCTTTATAAAGGTTGAAGACCCTCCCACAACTAGAGAGACTTCTTCCGTGTTTGTGTATTTCAGATGGAAGAGGTGAATCAGGAGGTCGTATCAAGTGGTCGGGAGGTGCAAAAAATTAGCCACCAGCTCACTGAACTGAGACGTGAATACCAAAACCTGGAGATTGAACTGCAGGCCCAGATCAGCACGGTACATGATGGCCTCAGGTTTTGTCCGCATATACTCTGACATGCACATGTGGGGACTGAGACAAAGGGCCATGACTTGCCCTTCTTTTTGAACCACTGGAGTATCCAGCTTGGCAAAATTGTTCCCTCGCAGGACTCACAGAGTTTTGTACAGTAAAATCCCAAATTCCAGTAACAAAGGGATCAAGTTTGCCCCAGGTCTCCCATTTTGTATTTTATCCTTCAATACCCAGAAAAATTCTCTGGAAAACACCTTGGCAGAAACAGAGGCTCGTTACGGTGCCCAGCTGCAGCAGATCCAGGTCATGATCAACCATGTGGAGGAGGAACTGGCTCAGTTGTGCTGTGAAATGGAGAGTCAGAACGAAGAGTACAAGACGCTCCTTGGCATCAAGACCCGCCTGGAACAGGAGATTGCGACATACCGAGAACTGCTGCAGGAAGGACAGCAAGACATTATGTACGTGCACTTCAGAGCTGCCAGGTCACAGAGCCAGAGCTCAGTTTAGTTGACTGTTTAAAGGAGATATAGAGTCATTAGAGTAAGAGTGGGAAATGCTGGGGTGGGAGGCTGTGCAAAACATTCTGGACACTGCTTGCACTGAGGGGCTGTTTTATTTAACCAGTACAATCAGATGAATTGGGAGAGGTTGTTCAGATCTACACCAAAACATTGATTTGCACCTCATTCTGTCCTGTTTGGGACATCTGAACAGCCATCATGCAAAAATGCATTGCACTGCTGTCCTGGTTGTCACATGGAAAAAAGACAAAAAGCTGAATACTCTTTCAGTGTTGTTTCGACTTCCAGAAAACACCTGGAAGGACAGTCAGTCACAAAGCTGGAAAAATGAACCCAGCATTCCTAAGTGCAGGATAGGTTTGTTTCTGTCACATCTCCTATACATGTGTGAATTACTTCAGGTTTTTTTTGCTAATTAGCTTTTGCTTCATTTATGCCAAATCCTTTCCCTTCCACAGCTTCTCTCAAGGAGGGATTCAAGTAGGATCCAGCAGAGGAGGTGGTAGGTCCTCCCAGTCCTACTCTTCATCTTCCCACTCTCAGTACCAGGGTGGTGAGATGACAGGTAAGAATACTGTTCACAGTTAGACAGTGACTTATTAGCATCCCCCACTTCCTCCTTGCTTACAGAATCTGATCACTGCTACACTACAGCAAATTAAAACTAGTCTGGCACCTAGGTCTGGGGAAGTCTTCAAGTCCATAAAGCCAAGAAAGAGAAAAGAACTTGTCTGTTAAGAGAAAATTAAAGAAAAAAAGGCATTTCATGCCTTCCCAGGAAAGTTAAAATGCATGTTATTAGCATTACAAGTGGGTCTTTCTCTCTTGTTCTAAGCTTGTAGCCACTTGGTATTTTCCCTCCTCCTTGATGCTTTTCCTAATACAGTGGGACATTAAATAAAGGGGAACATTTTAGGCCTCAGTGTTGCCAACAAGATTTGCTTTCTCTGCTGTATGATGGTTTCTTTTCTTCCTCAACAGGGCCATCAAAACAATGCTAGGACAAGAAGAGGGACACAAGCATCCTATGTATTAGGACCTTCTGGACAGACCTATAGTCAATGAGACAGGAAACCAATGCATTTGCTATGTGTCCATCCAAAGAACAAGGCGGATGCTACTAGAGCAATTTGGATGGGCCACCATCTGGCTTGGCATGCTGCCCATTGCCTTCATTTTGTGTGTGCTTTGTAGCCAGTCAGTTACTTTAATCCCTTGGTTCTGTAGCTAGATATCTATCCTTTGCTGAAAAAAATTATCTCTGATAAACATTTACTTCTCTGCCATGCAAACAAGAAACATGTATGATTTCATTTAACATATTATTTTATTGGCATTCCAATTGGAGTACTATGATGGGGGGGGGAGGGGGGAGGGGGCAGTGATGCGCCTGTGCCCTGCCCCTGCCCTCACTCTCAAGCCACAGTGCTTCTTGGCCTGCTGCTGCCCTTCACTCCTGACCCACAGTAGCCTGCCCCCCAGACCATGTACCCCTCACTCCCAACCCGCAGCCCCCCCATCCCTGCTGATACCCCTCATTCCTGACCTGCAGCCCCCAGGAGGGTGACCCTGTTTGTCTTTTGGCTTCCAAAAGTCTGTACAGTTTAGGGAATGTACTGGGTTCACAAGGGGAAATAAAATCACTGCTTCTTTTGCAGACAGGAGATTGGGGAGATGGGTAAAAAGTTTCCTCTCCTCCCAGTGAAGAATGTAAGGTGTTTCCCAAGAGGAACATCATAGACACTGAGGGCTCCTACACGTGAGCAGTGAGGCTGCTGTGATGTGCTGTAATTACAGCACATTGGAGCACACTTGATTAACTGAGGTAATTACTGATTAATGCAGGGTAATTACCATGCTCCAACAGACTCTAGCATCTGATACATCAGTGTTCCCATGTTTAAAAATGGTGGCTGAGGCACATTTATTACTTGCTCACACCTGCACCCATGAAAATATGCAATAAGAGAAATTCAGCAATAAGCAGTTTTCTTTGTGTGCATGGATCCATGCTAGCCGGAGGGGGGTCAGAGGTGGGAAAGGTATACCCAAAGGGGAAAATGGACCAAGCCAAGACATTGGGTGAGAGCAATAACCATTTTTGCCAAGACTGTACCCGCATGGTGAGTCACCAAGGCCAGATGAAGAGAAAGCATGCAGGCCTGGGCCCAAAGTCTTTTCTGAATTTTCTGTAATTCTATGATTCCTTTCCTTTCTTGCCCCCAAACAGTTCCTAGTCATAGCATCATAGAAAATTAGGGTTGGAAGGGACCACAGGAGGTCACCCAGTCCAACCTCCTGCTCAAAGCAGAACTATCCCCAACTAGATCATCCCAGCCAAAGCTTTGTCTAGCCAGGGTTTAAAAACCACTAAGGATGGAGATTCCACCACCTCTCTGGGTAACCTGTTCCAGTGTTTTCCTATGAATCTAGGGAGAAAATGTTTCCTAATATCTAACCTAAACTTCCCTTGCTGCAACTTGAGACCATTTTAACTAGAGCAGCTGCCTTGTGTCACAGGGCACTAAGGCAATCCTGCTCCTTTAGGAGGGCTCTACAGTGGGCTAGAAACAGTCAGGCTAGAGAGCCCTGCAAGCTGAGGCAGAGCTCCACAACTGCAGGTGGCCCAGGCAGCAGGATAATGAGGGAATTAGTGGCACTTGCACCCGGTGAGCTGACTGGAAGGAGGCAGAGCCCTGAGCACATATAAGTCCCGGGGCTGTGGCTGGCAGGAGTTAGTCCTGTGGGAGCTTCCAGGGGAAGGAGCTATTGAAGGGAAGAACTACTTAGAGACATTTGATGGTCTGGTCTGCTGCCTGCAAGATGAATAGAGCTCAGAAGGTACCTAGGGCTAGGAGGCACACAATAATAAGATAGTTTACCTTCTTAAAGGGGCAGAGTGTGGCCTCTGTTTGTGTAAAAGGATTTGCCTCCAGTTCTTTTTAAAAACCCTAGGGTTTTCTACTCAATCAAGTCTTTGGGGATAGATAACCTTAGTTCCAGAGCCAGAGTGGGCAGACTGGCCTTGGTTCTGGCAAGAGAGGGGCTCCAGCCAAGATAAGTGGTTAGAAGAAGAAAACCACAGACTTGAAAAGTACCCAGAAGGCTTAGAGGGAGCCAGCAGATGGGGACATGATTTTACAGTAGTTAGCAACTCAGGGCGGCGTTTGAGTTAGGAATTGGGTGGTTTGTGCTTCGCATTTTAACTGGGAGCCTAGCTTATGGCTACAGAGGTGGCTAGAGGCCACAGGGGGTGCCAGGGAGGCACTTTGTACTTAGAGCCTCCCAAGAACCAGGGGGGTGGGGAGGGCAGGGCAGTCCCTATCTGGATAGGTAGTGGAGGACAGGACAGGGTGGCCCTGATCTGGATGTGCTGGAGGGCATGGTGAGACAGCCCCAATCCAGACATGCATGTTGTGGGTAGAGCAGCCTGGCTCCAATCTGGATGCATGGGGCAGGGGAGAAGCATCGCAGCATCATTTGGATGGGCAGGGGGTGGGCTAGCTCTGATCCCACTGTGCAGGCAATGGCTTGGAGGCCACATGGAGCTTCCACTGCTCATTGCTGCCATATTTTCTGACCCATGGGGACTGCCATGGGCTGCATGTCATGGCTCCATGGGTTGGATTTGGCCTATGGGCCAAAGTTTAAGCACCCCTGAGTTAGAACAGTAACGGATGATATGTCTCAGTGTTGGAGTTCACCAGCAGAAGCATGGTTAGGAAGAACTGTTTAATAGCAGAGGGCACTGCAGATTAGGACTACTACATACTGGTAAAGGTGGTAGTCATGTGAGGATATTAAGAAAGTAGCAGGGGTTTCAAGATAAAGTTTAGTAGTATGGGAGGATTGGTTGGTAAGGAGCTAACACATCCCCCGGGTGACTGCTTCCAAGCCAATAACTTTTTTCCTTTTAATTACTTTTATCCTTGTTAAAGCCTTCATAAGGGCTGAAAAGTTAAAAGAGCCTCTCCCAGCCAAAGAGCCTTCTTCTGCGCTTCTGTATTTCAGATGGAAGAAGCGAATCATTGGTTTATATCCAGGGGTCAGGAGGCACCAACAAGCAGCCCCAGCCCACCAAACTAAAAAAGAAATTCCAGGGCCTGGAGACTGAACCACAGGCTAGATCAGCATGGTATGTGATGTCCTCAGGTTTGGTCCTGACATACTCTAGGACATGCACACATAGGTACGGAGAGAAAAGAGCATGGCTTGCTTTTCTCCTTGAACCACTGGGGCACCTAACTTGGCAGAGATGTTCCCTCAAAGAGATCACATAACTTTGCACTGGAAAATCCCAAATTCCACTAGCAAAAGGAGTTATGGGAAGGGGGTGGTGCCAGGCCCCTGGGACCAATCCCACTGTGTGGGGGGTGGGAGGGGGTGGTGCTGGGCCCTTGGTACCCAATCCTGGCATGCGGAAAGGCACCATACCATTTATCTGGCCCACAGAGCCAAAAGATTGACCACCACTGCCCTGGAAGATTGGAGAAGGACAGGACTAATTCAGCCACTAGATGGTGTTACGGCTACCTGGGAGTGGGTCCTGGGAAATCTCACTCTAATGATGCAGAAGATAAGACTTGTTACCTATAATTAATGAGAGGCTACAGAAGTTGAAACAAAATAATTTCTCCATCCATGATGCCAAAGAAAAAATCAGTGGGTAGTGCCTTGATTACTATGTTGCAATATAAATGATGTATGAACATGACTACAGAGAGTCCTACTCACACTCTAAGAAAGGTCATCTCAGCTGAAATCTAACACAGGACCACCCAAAGATGAGATGATTGTTCATCTTGTGCAGATTCAGACAATTGGTATGTGCATCACTGGCCAAAAGAATGAAAGAAATTCCCTTTAGCACATAATTCTTGGCACAAATGGTAAAGCTGGCAAAACACATAGGAAGCTGGACCAGCCTATTACTGAGTTTGTAGTGAGCTTTCTTACCAAGCTGCAAAACTAGCTTTGGGTTCTGGGTTGGACATTTCCTTGCTCTCCCTACAAGCTGTAGCGCTGGATAAACCTCTAGCCAGTCTTATAGAAGTGGTCAGGGTAGTGGCTTCAGTAGCTATGGTGGTGGGAGTTTCTAAGTCACCGTTAGAAAATATACCTCCTCTGTAGCAGTCAGCATTAGTTATGGTTTTTGGTTGGAGATCAGGTGGCGGAAACTACAGTGGGGGAGCATGCAGTGATATGTACAGATGAGTCACTGGTAGTAGCAGAGGTGGTGAACGGGGCGGCAGTCTTGTTCGTGGGTATAGGGCTGGCTTTGGAGGGAGATTGGGTGGTGGTTTTGGAGTGGGTTTTGATAGTAGCTTTAGAGGTGGAGATGGGTCCTGCTGGCTGGCAATGTAAAAGAAAACCAGCAGAACCTTAATAACTGCTTGGCTGCCTACTTGGACCAAGTGCAGAAACTGGAGGATACAAACATTGAACTAGAGCAAAATATCAGGGAGCGGTACATGAAGCAAGGTCCTAACATCTCCAAAGACTACAGAGCAGGGTTTGAATTACACCTTGACTCTTGGGGGATCTGCGAAAAAAAGGAAACCAGTTCATTGATTAACAAGCCCACCTATGTGAAGGAGCAATCTGATCGAAGATCCCCCCCTAGATTATGATTTTCAAATTTTACAGGTGGCTGTCATCTCTTATGGGGGTCTTAGCCCCCATGAGCTCCCCAATAATTCACACCGTGATTCCTAGACTATCAAACAACTCCAAAATCAGGAGAGAAAGAAGTGGGGGGGAGGGGTTCTATACATTGGAAAGATTTACCATTTGGTGGGATTTCCTTTTGACAGCTTAATGTGGCAGAGATAAAGAATCAGAATGTGGACATCCCCCTAAAGTGGAGTGTAATGTGCCAGAGCTGGTGACTGAAGAATTTTCCATTCGATGGCGGAAATATGCAGATGCAGGTGTGTTCCTAGTTTTCCCAGTTGCTCACCATGTCTCTGCATGCAGAAAAACCTATAGATTTGGGTTCTTC